GGAAAATTGTGTTGTGGGTATGCTATGCCATTTCATGGTCCTATGGAGGTTTTAGCTTTGCTGACTTGTAATCCAAGTTTTCTCCGGAGTTCAATTATAAGTGTTGTGATACACCTATCGGCTATTGTGCTGTTTTCTCACCTCAAGCAACTCAGGATTTAATTTATTCCAGAAATCTGTTTATAGTTGCTGGATGTGTCACATGAGTTCATTGCATAGGTGTTGACCCAACTACCAGTGCAACAAATTTTGTTAGCATCATTCTGTTTCTGTCGTGCATAGTTTCTTGCTTAGGCTTTTATCTTTATTCTACCGAGTAGAATCTTGCATAGCATCTGAACATTTAGCTTACATTTGTTTCATTGTCGTAGCTGACCTTTCTGGAATAGATTGTAGTACTAATGTAATTGTTAGTTTTACAATAAATCTAATGGTTCGTACTATTTCGTGAAGTTACTTGTTAATGATTTACTTTATAGATTTCAGCTATTTTGACAATTATTCTTGTATTGGCAATGTGGAAAGGTGTTAAACTGTTAGTTGTTTCTTTTCCCGCTCTCAATTGGTCCAGGTTGTGGACTCGTAAAGAGAAAGACATTGCCATTGTTTCGCACAGTGGATTCTTGTTTCATACCTTGAGTGCTTTTGGAAATGATTGCCATCCGTCTATCAAGAGCGAAATATGCACTCAGTAAGTGTTATGGTGGTTGTTTTATGCCAACTTTTAATTCAAGAGCATGCACATTACATTCCACAGCACGGGATAATGTTTATAATCATATGTGTACAAAAATCGTTCTACCGGTCTCATATATTTATTCTTTAAACTAAGGAGAGCGAGTCCCTTTTTTTTCTCTTTTTGAATTTTGGATGGATGCTAAGCTTAAGAGTGGAATTCTGTTTATGCAGCTTTGCTAATTGTGAGCTTCGTTCAGTGGTAATTGTCGATAGGAGGTGAGCTTCTTGTTCGTTAATTTTAACAGCGCGCACACACATCTAGCTTATGCGGAACTTCTAATAAGTTGTTTTCTGTGTGCAGTTTGCTGGGGTCTGATTCTTCAACAACTAATTATCCTGGGAAGATACCACGCGGGCCTGATCTTCCTAGTGATGTTGCCGATGAGAAGCATTCGGAGAAGGGTGCTTCCAAGTAATTATAGCCAGTCCATCATGATGGATGGACAGTCTTCCATAAGTAATATGATTCTTCTGAAGCCTTGATTTTTCAGGGGCTGGTGGCTCATTTTTACACCGGAGACGGAAATTTAGTCGCTTTAAAAGGTTCGGGATAGCCTCGGATAGTCTCGGGCTAACCCGAATATTGTTGATTGTTTTACAAGTTACTTGTTTTTAGATCACACTCTGTCTTCGTTGTCAGATAGACACAAATAGCAGACGTTCTTTGATTGGAACATACCTATTTGTTAGTGTCATAAGCGACAGCTTGAAGGGCAAGGTTTATAGTATGCCCCAGTGAAACTTGGACAATGTTTGATAATGCAAATATGAAACTTGTGTGGTAACTCATTTTCCTTTTTTTGTCTTTTCGATATTTTTTTATTTAAAAAAGAATTTGTTTTTCTCCCAAAATTTTAACAGCATTTTATTTAAAAAAAAAATTATGGCTGTTGGAATTGGGAGGACATGATTGTGCCCACCTCATAGAGCTGTTGAAGTAGCCGTTGTGTGCGCAGCTGACAATTAAGGCGAGCATCATGCACATCTTTTTTGTCTGACCACTTGCTTCTTGTCAAGTGCGTATCTTATAAAATAATAAATAAATAAATAAACGTAGATCATATTGTTACAGACTAAAAATTATGAGTGAAAGTGCACTATTGAGGATTAATAATCTAAATTGTTTAGTTTATAAATTTGCATCTAAAAATTCTCTCTAAAATAATTCAAGTTGCGTTATCTTTTGTTATTGTTTGATGACAAAACAATTTTGGATTTGATTTATGTGAAATTGTGAATTACACTGAAATAACATGAAGAGGGTAAAATGATTTTAGGGTTTTTACGCGGAAGGAAAAAAAAAGGGGAGAGGGAGTTGACCGCGTTTGACTCTGAAATTTGAAATTTGAAATCTAAATGCTCTCGTGTCGACCGTTGAACCGCCTTATAGCGGCTGTCTATCTATCCCTATCTCTGAAAACAGCGCCTGATCGATCACTCTCTCTCTCTCTCTCTCTCCATCTCTGTGAATTCTGACCCTAAAGCCCTAAGCTTTCTCTCTCTCTCTCTCTCTCTCTCTCTCTCTCTCTCTCTCTCTCTCTGTTGACTACTGATCTGAAACCCTAAATCCACTCTGTCATTCTGCTGAATTGATTTGGTTTTGTGAGTATGAATTCGAATTTGAATCTTTTTTCGGAGGTTGCGGTGGTCCTTCAGAATTGGGAGGAACAGAAAAGGTGGGTTTTTGATGAATTTTCTGTTGTTGCAGATTTCATCCGCTTCTGTGCTGCCAAGAAATCGAAATCTGGTCGTGATTCCTTCACGATCTTTCCGAGAAAGAAACGGTCGTCTCTGAGAAGAAGGCCCAACAAGAAAACATGTTTCGGGTTTTCGTCAGTCCCCATCATCCTTCCCAAGAAGAAGAGGTCGCTGAGAAGGAGGGCAGCCGCATCTCTGGATATGACATCGAAAAATCTGAAAAGGAAGCGGCTTTCTGGGTGTGAATCTTCTACAAACAACGATGGGGATGAAGGGTTTCTTCTTCAGAAGAAACAGAAGTTCGTTGATCCGATCCGTGGTGGTTGAGCACTGACGACCCTTAATTTACTACAACGAGACAGGTTTGCGTGTTGGTTCGGTCAATTTTATAGCTTTATTTTTGGTAGAATTCAAGTTTCAACTTCACTTATTAGTTATTAGATATGAATCCCTAATTTCTCCAAGTTTTTGTATGTGGTCAAGGATCCGGCAGTGAAGTCTATGATTCTCGACTTTTAAGTATATAGGGTGAATTTTATGTTTGGTTTAGGAATTATTGTTTCAGTTGTGTACGAGCCTATGATTCTCGAAACATTTAGCTGCTGTTTGTTAAGGCACTGTTATGTTGGAACACTTGAAGAGACAGTATCCTATATACCAAACAAATAAGAGTCGGAACGTTTCACTTGGTTGGTGGAAGTTGAAGATCTAAAAAGCAACGTGTATTGAGTATTGACCAATGGCAATGTTGTAGGATAATGCAGACGGAAAGCGTATACAGGTTGCAATGATGGGAGCAGTAACCATCATTCAGTTTCAAGGCAATCAGCCCACGATGTACAGTGGTTGAGCTTTGCCGGGAACATTTGGTACGTCATGTTATTAACAGGGTCCTGTTTCTGTAATACTCTTCTTAGGCTTTTATCTTTATTCTACTAAGTAGGTATGTGGTTGCCCCTTGTAACTGAAATCACTTGATTGAATCTTGCTTAGCATCTGAACACTTAGTTTACATGTTTTCCCATTTCAATTTTCATAGCTGACGACTTGCTGGAATTGATTGGAGTGATAATGTAGTTCTAAGTTTTACAATAAATCTAGAAGATCAAACTATTTCGTTAACTTTCGTGTTACTGACTTAAGTGGTAGATTTCAGCTCTTTTGGCAATGTGGAAAGGTGTTAAATCTTAATTGTTTCAGTTATGTACTTGATTAATTGATTGAATACTTGATTGGGTGAGTCTACGTTCTTTGAAACGAATAAGAGTCATGATGTTACATTTGGTGGAAGTTGAGAAAAGAGAAAACAACCTGTTTTGATTAGTGGTAGCATTGTAGGGAACTGTGACCCTCCAAAAATTTTACGTCTAAACACCCACCATTTATAGGTGTTGAGCTTTGCCGGGACCATCTGGTACTTCATTTTATGTTAAAACTAATGACAGCTGTGCAAAATTTTGTGCCGAATGTGAGGCGAGAGAAATTGAGAATCCTTATTTCAGTAGTTATTTTTCCTTTGCAAATGTTTAACATTTCAACTGGGTGAAGATCAATTTTACTTTGAAGCTGTTCCATGCCAGTGAGACTTCTCCAACAGGTAAATTGTGATACCTATATGCACACTACTGTGAAGAGGTTTATTTCAAAATTCCTCCGCACACAGTTCACATAACCACTGCATTTTAATTGAACTTTGCACTTAAATGTGTGTGTCCTCTGGCACTGCAGCTGCAGGGTGATCATCCATGTGAGCAGAGAAGAAACACTACCGAGTATCGGCCTCTTTTTCCTGCAAATGATCTTCTACTGACAAGCGATTTAGTGTGATTACATATCGGAGAAAGCTCTGGTTTTGATTGCTTGTCTAATTGAATATATTCTTTTTCTAACTGAATATTGTTGATTGTTTTACAAGTTACTTTTTTTTATGTTATTTTCCATATGTAATTTTCATCTTTAAAGTCCAGACGAAGGAGATTACCTTTCTTGTTGTCTTTTCTGTTGTTTCTATGCAGCTTTGCTAACTGTGAGCTTCGTTCAGTGCTAGTTGTTGATAGGAGGTGAGCTTGTCTTTGGAAAACCTCTGCAGAACTGTAAGTTTTGGTCTTGTCTTGGCAGTTTGATGGAGTCTATCCGGGAAAAATTCCTCACGAGCTTGACCCTCCTGCTGACGTTGCAGAACTGCGAGAAGCATCCGGAGAAGGATGCTTACTTGCAAGTAATTAGAGGCCATGGTTATGGAAAGAATTACACAGTCCATTTCGTTTTCAGTTTTCAATTTTTCGCTAAAAGCATGGTAAGTACATGGGAGAAATAAGGGATGAAACGCTCAGGTCTGCGAAGCAATGGTGGTGAAAGATGCAGAAGATAAATGCACGGATTGGTACACAGAATAAACTAAAAGCAGAAAACAATCTCAAGTGGGTTTTATTTTCTATGTCTGCCTCAGGCAGACAAAGTGAAACAAAAAGCTAAAAACAAAATGGTTATCAAACGGAATTCTGGGTATCTCGAACTTTGATCTGCATATCATTCGCTCCATTTTATGCGTTTGGAAAGATGCATTAAAACAAAAGGAATTCCATGGATTTATCATATAAATGTTCAATAATTCAGCTGCATATTTTTACCCTAAAAGTAAAAGGAAATTCAAAGGACGAAGTCAATTGATTTTATAGGACAAAAAAAAGTTAACCAGTGTGAACAAGTGAGGCTTGCTTTAACTATGATCTCTTGACGAATATGAGAATGTATCCTACAGTTATAGAGAGAAGAAGGAATATAACAGCAGCCATGATGTTGAAATTAGACAACTGTGAAGATTTTTGGCCACCTTCTCCCCTCAATTTGTCAAGTCCGCTCTTCTCTGAATGGGAGTTGGATGCCAAGGGAAGTGGCACCGCCACATCCCAAAAAGATTTGGTCACTGCAGATGGGGCATCTATTTCTGGTTCCAAGATTGTTGCGTTATCTGTTGGAGCTTCCATAGACAGCAATTCGACACATCGATCTTTCAGAACCTAAGCGAGCATGGAAAGCAAAATGTCAGAGCTACCAAGACATGGAGCTATAAAGAGAATAACTAAAAAGCTCATTTTCTCAACATTTTGTCCAAATAGAGCTCTTAAGAACCAAAGACGGAAAGGGTGCATCATTATTTTCCAATTTTATGTCTTTAGTTTATAAGTACAAACTTCAAAAAAATTTCCAATTTTATGTCTTTAGTCTATAAGTACAAACCTCAAAAGTCTCAGATGGTTGTAGGTAGTCACACACAAATGTACCCGCTAACCAAGGAACAAAGACTCTTCGGGGAAGTGAAAGACTGCATGTTTTTCTGTTTTAAAATGCATAACAAATGTGGTCAGTGGCGACCTCGGTCAGCAATGTGAAAATCTCATTTTATTAAAACATAACATCCCTAACAGACCTGAATGATTGAAGAACAATATGAGAAGCAGGTGTTTCACTGGATATCCCATCTCTTGCTTCCTGAGTATCAGCACCATCTTTTGCTTGCTGGCCGCTAGTTTCAGTTGTAACTGCCTCGCCATCTGCCTCATCACAGATAATATCTAGTCTACTCTGCAGACTCGTGATAATGTCATCCTACAAGTACAAACATAAAAACAATCCTTGATGTTTCAGGATATGAGCACTATGCAAATTAAACAAGCGAAAACTACATTGTCGATACAGAATCCCTATAATCAATTCTAATCTGAATTCTCTAAAAAGGTAGTACAGTCAATTAATGATAAAATGTGAATTCCAAATGGCTTTTTGAAACTAAAACCAATAATTAATATTCAGTCTAACATCACGAACAGATAATTAAAAGTGATTATCTCTTGTATACCTTTATATCAGCAACAGCTTGTGAAATTGGTTCTTTAGGATTTAAGTATGCAAAGGAACACACCGAACCGCTTAAATCAAGAATACCAGCAGTATCTTTTTGGCTGCAGGCTTTACACAATATAGATGAATATTAGGATAGAATCTCAAAATGGAAAACGAAATTCAAGAAAAAAAAATGAAGAGAAAAATTAAATAATGCATAAACACACCTTCAGTATCTTTCATAAAAGGTAGAAGCAACTCGACTTCATGCAGACCATCTGATGTGCATAGATCATTGTTAACAACCTAAAGTTTATGCAAGATAGAAAAATCTAGATGAGAACTTGAGGTTAAAAGTAGCAAGCTAGAAACCATGCTTATTGATTCTGGCAAATAAAAGGGGAAAGCACAATTCAAACACTCTGCTTTATGCTGTAAGATGATTGATTACACATGCGATGTGGGTATTGGAATTGGTCAGTAATGCAGGCACAAGTGAAAAAGCAGAAACTCAGAGAAAATTGCACGCAAGCAAGCTTAACTCGAGGTTTTATTTGTTTATTTTTTCTGTTGATTGGTAAACTATTACATCACAACAGATATCAACATAAGAATTCGATGGAACCAATTCAAGGTCATCCAGAACATTAAAATAGACACCGCCCAGAGCACTAACATACACACAAGTATCCAGCAAATTAACAAAAAGGTGTAAAGTAATTTTCAAAGGAACAACCGAACAAGTCAATGAGCAACTTACCAAATTTCCATCAATCATGGCCTTTGCACTTTTTAAATCTTTCGCATGAACTGAAATACCATGACGTAGAGCTTCAGTAACAGTTTGGAGATTTGATGAATTCTTGTGAAATATGGGCAATCTGGGAAAGAATAACTACCATGAGAAAACCTAAACACCATTATAGCACCAGTATTGTAATGAAGCATCAATAACAAAAATACTATTAGTAAATTGGATATGACCCTCGGTACTATGAGATCTCAATATCTATCACGTTGGGAAGGTAGAAGCTCAATATAAGCAAAGTGTTTAGATTTAAGGTTCAACTTCAGTGTTGGCTTTGGTGTGTGTAAAAATAACAGGAAAAGTATATTTATAAGTTCTAAGAATATATATTAATATAGCACAAGAGCACTCTGGTAGGCAGGACTTACAACAGCCTGGACCACTGAGAGGAAAAACAAATTCCTGCAGTTTCAGAAGCCATAAATAAAAGAATCCTCTATCTTCGGTTAAATAAGGCTTATTAATAAGAAAAGCAGACAGTACCTGATATCAAAGTTGTACATGCACCTAAATCTTTGAAGGGAATTTAGGACCCTTCCCATTTTGAAGTCACAAGGTCTTAGGCTGCTTGATGTAATATTTGAAGCTACTGCACAATTTCGACATGTCCACCTACAGAAATAACCTCTTCAATCAGCGTGAAATAACATTTGACAATAATTAAGAGAGAATAAAGTGGGACAGTTCAGGTTGGGAACACACCTCCTTGGACTATAACAAATGTGAATGAGCAGTCTCTCATCCCAATCACTCTCTGAGAGGGGTGCTGCTTTGGCAACTCCCATTACAGTCTGCAGGGGTCTTTTCCATTAATAAATAAAAAATCATTTTTTCACAGAATACGCATACGATAACTCAAATTTTAAAGTGAATATAGGCAGTCCCATATTGGTCATAGCTGACCCATTATTTGGAAGTAAACCAACCAAGAGAGTTTAAAGTGAAATAACCTCCTTGTTTTCCATTAGATTTATGGTAAGTTGGTAACTATAAAACATTATTGAGATAACCACGAGAGTTTGTTGCCAACCCTTATATTGTATTAGTTCTCGGAAAATGAAAAGGGTGCATCCGCTAAAATGAATGGTTGTATTAGGCCTAATTTCATGAATTTCAAACTTTACTTGATAGGCCTTTCAGACCGGATAAAAAATCAACAGTCAAAAGCTGTAAATGGAAACATTGAACAATCAATCCCGTATAATCCTTCCTGCACATTTCTCTGCGACTAAGCAGGGCATTAAGCACAGTTAAAGCCACCCATACTTCTCGACAAAACCAAGCTCATAGAGCAACGGTGCCACTGAGTAACGTTTGATAAAAACATTTTAGCAATCAGAACTAAGCTCTACAAAGAAACATCCACATATCAAATCCAATCCGGGCCAAAAGAATACCTGGCAAAGCACGATGTTCGAATTCTTAAAAGCGCTATCGCTAGCCCAAATGTATATGCCAACCACCTTCATGCCACCCACTAACATTCTGGACACCTGAAACATCAAACAAATTCCTATTACAACTACTCAAGCACAATGAGAAAAACCCAGAAACCAGATCACATATTAGACTTTAATTGTATGCATATATACAAATAGGAATGCAAATATACAAGCATACATATATATAGAGGAACATTTTATGTATATGTAACTGACCTGACGGGCATGTTCGGCGACCCAGTCCTTGTCAATGGAGAGAGAGGAGGAATCGGAGGGCTGAGATTTGGGTTTAAACCCCTTTCTCTTGTCGTCCCTAGCGGGCTCCACGACGGAGCAAGCAGGCTCTCCGGCGTCGTTCGGTGGCGTTGGGACCAAATCGAAGGCGAAACCTCGGTCTAGAGACGAGCTGAGCTTGCCTACGAGGAGCCCCACCTGAATTTTCATAAGAAACAAATCAAAAACCGTAAAACTCAGAAGCATCAATCTTTAGAGAGAGAGAGGACCTGCACGGCGGTGGAGGATTGCTCGAGGCGATCCTCGGCTAATTTGAGCTGGGTTTCCTCTCCGACGACGGCTTTCACCATTGTTGTACGGAAGCTGTGATTTTTCTGGTTGGATCAGCGAGCTTCTTCGCAGTCAGTTGACTGACCATAACTCCGGTTTGTTAATTTCCGGGCCGGGTTGCGAGTCGTGCATGATCACGGGTCAGCCTATTAAATCAAATTCAAGTGGTGATATGGGTATGCAATTTTGGCGGGTTGGGAGGTCAACCAGTCGGAATTAATTCGGGTTTGGGTTTAAGGAATTCATTCGTACTTGTGTTTAAAGTATTGATACTAGCCGATGTGCACATACTCTGTGTGTGTAAACAATTTCATTTTTTTTTTTTAATTAAAGAGTGAGATTAGTTTTTAAAATTTAAAAAAGAGTATGAAAAAATGATGATGAGACAATTTTTTTTAATAAGTGCATATTTTATCTTGATATTACATAATTACTATTTGTCATCTTTATGTAAATATTGTGTATCAAAAGTGAAGATAAAATAGGAAAAATAGGGATATAATTGTCATTTTCTCAAAAGATACAAAATTATATTTTGCCCTCATTATGTAAGTATTGTGTATCAAAAGTGAGGCCAAAATAGGAAAAAAATGAGCAAAAAGTTGACAATGAGGGTTTTCTTAATAATAGTATAGATAAATTCTTACTCGTAGGTTATAATATGAATTTGTGACTAACATTTACTGACACGCCCTAACCTCGATATCTCGAAATACCAGGATAGACACGTGCTAGCTAACAGCCAAGGGTGACAAAGCCATTCTAACATGCATCCAAGTGGTATCGGTAAAAAAAAGTAATAAAATATGTAAATATAAAGAAATACGCAAACACGGAAACGTATTTAGAGCATACAACTAATCAAGAATTACTATAAAAAGGTACAAACAAAGGAATGGGTCATACACTGAGAAGACTTGAAGATACCTATGTGAAAGTGCCTTGACGTTGGGATCGTACGCCTCGATTCTAAATCCTAAAGGGGGCGCAAAATAAAGGGTGAGTAAACCAAAGTTTATAATAATAATAATAATACTAATAATAAGAAAACCATTTTCTTTCTGAACGTACTAACCCCTTGTTTTGAAAACTCATATAGTACTATATAGTAGATTTTCAAAAAACTCTAGTATGCCATGAAAACATTCATAAAACATGTAAGTATAAACCAGTGCTCAGTAATGGTAATATAGTCGCCCGAAGGTAAATTTGTAAAACATTCGTAAATCACATCAATGATGTACTCAACTAGGGGTATCATAGTCGCGCCAAAGGCATAACCATCACCCTGAAGATGAAGATATACAACACTTGGTTATGCCACTGAAGAAATATGGTAAGTCCCATCACCTGAAGGTGAAAGTTGTACGACTCTGGGTTACGCTAGAGAAGAAACATATACATAACACACTGACACTAGCCATGGCTAGTGAAGCTGACACTGGTTTAACCAGTGAAGCTAGGAGTATGTCATAAATATCCTCAACTGTGTCCTATGACCATAGACGTATACATACTCATGTTGTGTGTATGTGTTGTATGATTACTCATTTAACACTAGCTTAATCTAACACTAAAACATGATCTAAAAGGTTCAAGGGGGTTTACCTTCACCGTAGATGGCGGAACTCATCGGAGGACACAAGCATGGTGGTTACTATAGTGCAGCACGGGGAAGAGTATTACAGGGGTTTTTGTCTATGAATTATGGTTTGCGGGCTCCCAGAAGTCATGAGGAGGCTGACACGTCCCAATCCCGATATTCCTTTAATACCAGGATGGGCACGTGTTGGCCGACACCTAAGGGTGATGAAGCTATTTTTAAAATGCCTTCGAATAAAATATGTAATTAGAACGAAAATGCTAATGCAGGAACGTGTTCAAAGTATACAACTAAATAAGAATAATTTCAAGGAATTATAATAAAAAGGTATGAACGAAGGGAAAAGTCATACACTGAGAAGACTCAAATATATCTATGTGGAAGTGCCCTGAAGTCGGGATCGTGTGCTTCGATTCTAACTCTTGAGGAGGCACAAAAACAGAAAATGTGAGTGGACTGAAATTTTTAATAATGCTAATAATAAGAAAATCATTTTCTTTATGAATATACTAACCCCCTGTTTTGAAAACGCATATATATAATACTACATAGTAGTTTCCAAAAACTCTACATGCCATGAAAACGTTCATAAAATTAGTACGTATAAAACTGTGCGTAGAAATGATAATATAGCCATCTGAAGGCAAATCCGTAAAACCTTCGTAAATCACATCAATGTTGTACTCTCTAGGGGTATCATAGTTGCCCGAAGGTAGTACCTGTCCATCACCCGAATGTGAAGTTGTACGGCATTGGGTTACGCTAGTGAAGAAACATGGTAAGCCCTATCACCTAAAGGTGAAGCTGTACGAGTTTGGGTTATGCCAGAGAAGAAATATATAACATCACACACTGACACTAACTGTGGCTAGTGAAGCCGTTAGTCACTAGTTTCGCCAATGAAATTGGGGGTATGGCATAAATATCTCACTCCTCATTTGCCTAAAGGTAGTACTTGTCCATCACCCAAAGGTGAAGTTGTATGACACTGGGTTATGCTAGTGAAGAAACATGGTAGGCCCCATCACCCGAAGGTGAAGCTATATGACTCTGGGTTACACCGGAGAAGAAATATATACATAGATATCCTCAACTGTGTCTTATGGCCATAGACGTCTACATACCCTTGTTGTGTGGATGTGTTGTATGATAACCTGCTAGATAAGTACTGAAAGTATATCTCAAAATCTCATCTCAAATTTGGAGCTCAAAAGCTCAAAGTCTCATCTCATAACTCCATCATAACTCATTTTCATAAATCGTATCCACAAATCCATAGAATTTCATCTATGAAAATCCAATGATTGATAACCTTTCGTAAAACATAAATTCGATAAATCGTAATTATCTCGTTAAAGCAATTTAAATGAATAATAATTTCTTTGCAAATCATAAATATAAAAATCCGCAAAAGCATATTATAAATCATGCTCCATTCATGAAATATGCAATGCATGCAAACATAAGATTTTATGAAAACATGCAAGTTTAGAAAAGGTCCACTCACAGATATTTTGTTGCCTGGGAACCATTCGAGCTAGCAAGGATGAAGTCACTTCCTACCAATGCACCTGACCACAATTTGAGACCATTTAGTAAAACTATACCTAAATGATAGAATTTGGGAAAACAAACGGTGAATTCGGATTTGGCATGTCAAAAAACCTAAGGAGGGATCTGGGGTTTCCCCCCCACGATTTGCTGCACAAGCTGCCAAAAGGCGGTGGCTGGCAGGCTCGACTTGTAGGAAAAATCAACTACAAAAATTCCCAAATTTCACAGGAATGTAGATCATAATAAGAATAACAACTTTCATATCTGGGCTGAAGTCCAATTCAGTTGGGAAACACCTCAAATCACCCTCGATCCGTTAAAAACCCCAAAAATGGGTGAACCCCGATTCATCAAATCCGCAGTTCCATCCCCCCAAACTTGTTTGGGCTTTGTTCCTGACCTCAAAAGGAGTTGAATAAGGGTGGTCACTGTCGTTGGAGTTTGCAAGATCTGTGGAATCGCTGTCGTGGAATCCGGGGACCGACGTGGGTGTTAATCGTGAAACAATGATCAAAACAACTCTGGTTTGATGGAGAAATGAAGATGAGAGGTCTTTGTGTTGATTTATGGTGGTGAATGGTTGCAATTTGCAGAAAAAACCGAAGAGAAACTGCCAAAAAAATTTGAAAGGAATGGGGTCGGGTCACGAGGGTTAACGAGAACCCAACCGGTTTCTCTCCTTCTCTCCTTCCTTCTTTCCCCTCATTTCCTCTTTCCTGATTAGGCAACCTCTCTCTTTCGTCCATCTCTCTCATTTCCATCATTTCTCCTTTCATCCTTCCATCCTGGCCACACACGTGGCACCATATTGATGATCCAACAAATTTAGAGCCTTCCAGATTTATGTTAAATGACCATTTTGCCCTCAACCTCAATCGTTTATAACTCTTTCGTTATAACTTCAAATACGATTCACTTGCACCCACGTGTCCGTAATGTTGAGTACTACAAAGACACTCAAAGGGAATAGATCTTATGTGACACGACAGGGCGATCAACAAAAGTCAACACATTTGCCTCGAAGGGCATTTTCGTAATTTCACATTTTAAAATTATTTTTGGGGACTGGTCGTTACAGAGGTAATCCTGGTGGTTGTTGGTTGTGCGCGTGTGTGTGCCCAGAGCGAAAGAGATAATGCAGAGAGAGATGAGAGGGAGATAATGAGAGTTGTGAGTGAGAAAGGTGAGAGATGTCACGGGAAAAAGAAGAAAAATAAGGAAAAAGGGAGGGAAGAAAGAGAGAGGGCTGGGAGCCTGGGAGACAAAGAGGATAGAGGTGGGCCCACTAGCATAGCAAACAAGTAAGAAAAGAAGAAACATGAAAATATCTCGTGGAATGTAAAATTACCAAAATACCATTAACGTTCCACATTCCATAAGTACTTAGTTTTAGCTCCAAATTCAATTTTGCTTGCGCCCACGCGTTCGTAGCATCGAGTAGTACAAGGATATGCCAAGGAAACAAATCTTATAAGTGGTCGACAAAAGTCAACATTTTCCGCCTTGAAAGGCATTTTCGTAAACTCACGCTTGAAAATTATAAAAACCATAATATTTGGGGACGGGTCGTTACATTTACTAAATAAAATGATAATGTAACGCTTGGGGTTAAAATTTTTGAGAATTGTTTTGAGTTTTGGATGAGAAAACTATGAATGGTCGCGCAAAACATTCAACCTTGTACCCGACATGTAACACTCAAAAAAGTTGTTGACATACCACGTCCAGATATCCCCAAAAGACGCCTTAGCGTTTAAGGGTTTGAAGAGATGAAAGTCTTTTATTTGAAGTGTTTTTCACCCTTTTTAATTTCTCTCACACTTTTTATTTTTTGTTTTTTATCAATGAATTTAATAAATTAAACATACGCAACAGATGTGACTAAACATGATTTTGTGAGAAGCCAAACAAATTGTGCGTTTATAAATTTTCTTTTCTCTATCATGCAAGAGAATAGTTGAAAGAATCTTTTCATAATTTGCAGAGTGCAAAGGGATATTAAAAAAAAAAAAATAACAAGGGTACATAAAAAAAAAAAAAATTAATTTTGTGAATAACACCATTTTTTTTCCATATTAAAAAAATGTACCGCCGTAATCAAGAATTGTAGCGTGAATTCTTTCCATTTTTTTTTACACATTTCCACTTTCCAGTAAACTAAATCACGCCCCAAAAGAAAATTCTTTCCATTTTTTGTCATCATTTCCCACCGAATCCGAAATTCCGCCACCGAAATCCCAAATCCTTTTCATTTCCAATGACTCCCAAATCCCCAACCCTAATTTGATTTCCTCACTCCTCCGGGTCCTCCCGCATTTCTCAATTTCCGATGGAGAACTGCCCCTACCCGGACTCCCGCGACTCCTCCCCTCGCTCCCGCGAAATCGACTGCGACACCCCCTCATGGGACGACCAACCCCCTTCCTCCGCCTCCTCCTACAAAGTCAAGTTCATGTGCAGCTACGGTGGCAAAATCCAGCCCCGCCCCCACGACCACCAGCTCGCCTACGTCGGCGGCGACACCAAAATCCTCACCGTCGACCGCAACATCAAGCTCTCCGCTTTCATCTCCAAGCTCTCCTCCCTCTGCGACACCTCTAACGACGACGTTTGCTTCAAGTACCAGCTCCCCGGCGAAGATCTCGACGCTCTCATCTCCGTCACCAACGACGAGGACCTCGACCACATGATGATCGAGTACGACCGGCTCTACCGCGCTTCCGCTAAGCCCGCCAGGCTTCGACTCTTCCTCTTCCCTTTTGGCACCAACCCTTCCGCTAGCTTCGGCTCCAGCGAGACCAAGTCCGAGCGCCAGTGGTTCGTCGACGCTTTGAATTCCGTTCAGATAGGGTCTCCCGATGGCTCCTCTCCGACGGCTCCCGTCACGTCCTCGCCGACGAACCCCGATTTCTTGTTCGGATTCGATAAGGGATACAAGGCTGTGCCGGTTCCGAAATTTCCCGACTCTGTCACTCCGCCTACGGTTCCCGATTCGCTTGTGAAAAGCACTCTGGTTGGATCTGAGGATCGCCACACCGGAGAACCGGTGATATCTCCGGCGGAGATTCAGAGGCAGATCCAGGAGTTGCAGAGGTTGCAAATCGCTGCCAATCACGAGCCGACCACCATATATCACCGGAAAAGCGACGAAATGGGAAACCCTAGGGGTTACACCGGCGATTATTACACACAAAAACTTCCAGACAACATTCAACCGGCGCAAGGATCGTCTCCGGTGGCAATGCCACCGCCTATGCAATTTTCAACTGCGTATATGCCAGAAAGGCATATGAACACTGGGGGTTATCCGGTGACGGCTGCCCCATCTGGACCGGAGCAGCCCGTTTATCTCATTTCGACTCCGACCGGTGTGTACCAGGCTCCCGCTCCTAGACCGGCAACTGGACCAGTTGGTCAGGCATACTATGGAGTACCGCAGAGGATGGCACCAGAGGTGTACCGGGACGCTCAGGTGTACAATAATGCAGTGGCAGCACAGCAAGCACAACAAATTCAGCAAGCACAACAAGGTCAGCAAGCTCAGCAGGCACACCAAGCTCAGCAGGCGCAACAGGCTCAGCAGGCGCAACAGGCTCAGCAGGCACTACAGGCTCAGCAAGCTCAGCAGGCGCAACAGGTTCAGCAGGCACTACAGGCTCAGCAAACTCAGCAGGCACTACAGGCTCAGCAGGCACAACAGGCAAAGATTGCAGCTTATAGTGAAGGGTTTGCACCGGTTGGGTATGACGCCGTCGGGAGGCACGTATACTACACTGCAGCTGGAGGTGTCGTTTCTTCATACCAGACGGTGGCTCCGGTGGCTGTAGATGCAAGACAAGCTGCTGCTGGTGTATTGAATCAAATTCAAGACGGTAAAGTTGTTGTTTCCATGGCACCCCAAGCGTCTACTAATTGACAAAAATAAATAATAAATTCATATATAATGTGTTTGTTGTTTTGTCTTCTAATGGTTCTATAGTTTAAATAAGAAGAAATAAGAATCTAATTGTATGGCTTTGTGGTGGATACATCTCTCTGGTTTTGAAATTGGAACCTTTTGGGTTGTTCTGCTATGACAATTCACATTGTTTCTTGTGTATATAAGCAATTGTTTTGGTGCAAATTATTGCGTCTCTTTGGATTTTAGTTGGTCTTGAATTTCTTCGAGCCTTTCGCGTAACATGTGGCTGCTTTGGTTACCTGAAAAGTTGCTTAGTGTATCGATATGACTGTCTTATTCAAAACGTGGTGAATTTTGGCATGTATTCGTAATTAATCCACAGTTTTGGTTTAAATTCTGTGTTTGCTCTCTTTCTTTATATTGTTCTTTGGTTTGGTAGTAAGAGACTACAAACATATGTGACAAGAACAGGTATAAAGATGGTCAAATATTTTAGGTGTTAAGTTGAATGATGAATATATCTGTAGACCATTTCAAGTTAGATAAGGGTGTTGCAGGTGTGGTTGGATCTGTTCTATCATAAATTGTTATCAAATGCAGCAATGTCTAGTGTTCAAAGCCTTCGCCTAGTGCCGCCTGTAGGCAGCTGGCCGCAATCACGATTAATCTCTAGGCTTCGAAAAAATAAGAAATGGTGCCTGACTAGACTCGCCTAGATCGTGAGTCTCATTTAGGCAGAAAATAGATAATCTTCATTTTGCATTTTGTTTTTTCAATAAATTGTAAGAGACTTGTAGGACTTAGATGAACGCTTAGTATATGCCTGTTCCCAATACTTGCAATAAGTTCTAATACTTTATAATTTTTATGTCGTTCTATTTTGCAATCCTGTCTAGACCCCGTCTAGACGCAACGTGTTTGGTGGGCTGGTTGAGATAGGTTGTGAGCAATTAAAATGAAATTGAGTCTGGTGCTTTGTTTGTTATGTCAAAATGTGAGATCGTGAGTCTCATTTAGGCAGAAAATAGATAATCTTCATTTTGCATTTTGTTTTTTCAATAAATTGTAAGAGACTTGTAGGACTTAGATGAACGCTTAGTATATGCCTGTTCCCAATACTTGCAATAAGTTCTAATACTTTATAATTTTTATGTCGTTCTATTTTGCAATCCTGTCTAGACCCCGTCTAGACGCAACGTGTTTGGTGGGCTGGTTGAGATAGGTTGTGAGCAATTAAAATGAAATTGAGTCTGGTGCTTTGTTTGTTATGTCAAAATGTGAGATCGTGAGTCTCATTTAGGCAGAAAATAGATAATCTTCATTTTGCATTTTGTTTTTTTAATAAATTGTAAGAGACTTGTAGGACTTAGATGAACGCTTAGTATATGCCTGTTCCCAATACTTGCAATAAGTTCTAATACTTTATAATTTTTATGTCGTTCTATTTTGCAATCCTGTCTAGACCCCGTCTAGACGCAACGTGTTTGGTGGGCTGGTTGAGATAGGTTGTGAGCAATTAAAATGAAATTGAGTCTGGTGCTTTGTTTGTTATGTCAAAATGTGAGATGGATAGGACTGGACGTGATGAGTTATAAATCCATAACAGAGTGGGTTATCTAACATATCCTTATACATGAGTTACAAATCCATAACATGGGTGTTGTGACAAGGTGGATAAGAGCGCGCTGCTGTTTTGGTTGTATTATGCCGTCTTAGTGTAAATTATTGGTTTGTGTTTGTGTTTTTTTAATGTTGGTCATTGCATTGGAAGTAGTGTAGAGTAAAAGATGGTGTGCTTTAGCTTTTTCGTGTAAAACAAGTTGCTCATTTGGTCACCAAGAATGGTGACAAGTAAAGGATTAAAGATAATATCATTGATATTAAGTTTAATGTTTTTAGCTCGATTATGATAAGCGTTGTGAGCGGCTGTGGCGGCGATATTCTTGCGAGCACTGGTGGGATATATGTTATTTCGCGTGAGAATAACGCTCGTTACGTGACTAGACAAGTGGTTGCCATTGTGGTGGGATCTGCATGGATGGATATATAACTATTTTAAATTTAGCCTTTGAGCCATTTGATGTGGTAATAGGAAGAATGCTGCAGTTCTATTCTATTGCAAAAGGGGGCAGATTTTCTGCCCTCCTCTTACCGTGCCTTTCTTATCTACTTTTATTTATGCGGTCACGGATAAGCTACATTAACAATTTATATTCTTATTATTTTTGTCTTATTATCTTTATTAAAAAATTAATATAAAATATTGACGTGCTTTAATCGTGATCGTAAGAAAGAATAGAAAGAGCACGTAACAAAAGGGTAGATAATCTGCCTCTATTGCCAAATTGCAATGAAAAGGAGCTGCAACTTGTACGTTATGTAGAGTTTAAATAATAGGAAGAATACGCCCTTTCCACCCTGGTTTTTTGCACTTTTGATTTTGTCTGCCACTGTCATCTAAGTGGACTTTATTATGTTGGGAAGAGTCATCTCTAATTCTTTCCTATCAAAACCTATCAATCAATTAATATGAACCTTTAAGGGTTAAAATTATTATAACTTTTAAAAGGATTTCCTGTTTGTAACCGTTAGATCAAATTTTAAAGATCTGAATTAATTAATTGGTGGGCTTTAGTGAGAGGGATCCGAAGGGATCACTTCCCCCACTATCATTACTCTAGAGGAGAGACTAGATTCTCTAATTCGGGATTTATAGGGTACGGATACATCGTTATGATGATGTCTTATTCTAATAAAATAAAATAAAAATATTTTTTATTCACATATCTTTATTTCCTTTACACGTGTCATCATTTGATGATGTACCATATAAAGTTGTGCATCCAAAAGTTGGTCAACAGACGTGAAAGAATATGAGAAATATGTTACAATAATGGCGGTAACTGGAATGGAAAATAAATATTTCAAATCAGAATATGATTAAGAATTGGATGCCTTTGATTTCATTTGATTTGCTGAATTTAGCGGCTAAAATGTACGACAAATTATTTTGTTTTGTATCAAAGGATATAAACAAGGGGGTGAGTGTAGTGTGAAAATTGCCACTCTAAACGAAGATCTAGAAGGTTGTTTCAGTGTTCCTTTGTTGTAATGAGGTTATGTGCTTCAAAAATGGCCGTCACTTGGTACTTTCATGAGACAAAATTGATTGACAATCCATCCGAAGTGAAAAAAAAATTGCGAAAATTTGATGATACAAAGTTCTGATGCAACCATGTTATGTTTTACTATGCAAAAGGGTTTCGTCCTAAAATATTATTATTATTATTTTAAACGAGCGATATTGGACGGAAGAAATTCAATCTAAGACTTTGTGTGCATGCTTGTAACTACTTAGGGGACGTTTGTTGCGCCGGACTATCTCAGACTGGATTAGCTTCAAGAACTAAGCTGGACTGGCTTAGACTAGACTAAACTAGACTAACTTAGTGCAGCGTTTGGTGCAGTATTGGACTAAGAAGCTGGATAATAACAAATTATAATATTATATTATTTAATATATCAATTATTAATATTTTATTATGATCTTATCTTTTTTTTCATCTTTTCCTACCATTTCCGTCCCACTCTTTTCCTCTTCTCTCATCGTCCCACCCTCTCCCTCTTTTTTTCCTCTTAGACCTCTCAATTCATGTCTCTTTCTCATTCCTGGTCAAACTCCTTATTGATTCTAGTGTCTATTTCTCTGTCCTCCCTCCCTCTCTAGCTATGTGTTGTTCGAATGGAATCTCATGGCTCCAATTTTCCCGACGAGTTGCAGGTTTCCCGATGTGTTTTCCGGCCAACCCTCGTTAAATTGGATGAAGTTAGCACCGCCAAAAAATTCATCACCATCCCTAGACCGAGATCTTAACTTTGAATGCTCGAACTGTCATGGATTTGAAGAAGCCCAAACAGGCCGAGACGTCCAGGCCATTTTCCGACCACATTCGACCACATTTTGGCCTCTATTCAAGTAAAATCGTAATCTTGTCACTCCCAGCTTCAATTTGGTATATTTTATATGAAAGTTGGTTGTGAAATGGATCTGAAAGGGAGTCGGAAAGTTAATGATTGATCTAGGTGACCGGAGATGACGAGGAGTCTGTCGGGAGTGGTCGTTGAGCATGACGAGGACGAGAAAGAGAGGATAGTCTTAGCTAGTCCCATGGTTATTGGGGGGTCTCGCTAAGACTTCTTAGTGAAGGGTTTTGTCAATGCTAATCCCCTTTAGTCTCATTAATGTTAGTCCCAGCATGGAACAAACACAGTATTAGACTAATAACTAGTCCAGTCCAGTTCAGTCCAACTTAGTGAGGGCAAACAAACGCCCCCTTAAAGTATAAGCTTGGAGTACAAGAAACCAAATAGAGAGAATTAACTTCTTTGAGAAGATAATTTTATTGAATTATTTTCTGATACATTGCATTGATTACAGCTGAAAGTAGACTTGTAGGATGAAGTTTGCGACTGATTTATTTTGGATATAGGTATAGCATATCTAGTCATTTTCTGATTTATATCCCAAACCGGGCACTCCTGCAGCCGCCGCCACAACCACCACCACAATTTCCTCCACCACCGCCACCGCATCCACCACCGCATCCACCACAAGCACCACTATTTGCTATATTTTTACCACCACATGCACCACCGCATCCACCACAAGCACCACTATTTGCCATATTTTCACCACCACACTGGCTACCACAGTTACCACCGCCCTCACCACATCTATTTGCCTTGTCTTCACCACCATATGGTGATGGAATCGGAGTAGTCGAAGAGAGAGCAATGCGTATGCTGATGGGCTTTGAACCCGGACCTGCAGAATTCGATGTCAACTGAAACCACTTCTCCACTTGCAGTTTAGAAACAGGGTTGAGGATGTCATCTAAAGTGATTGTTGAAGTTCCTAGCAGTATAGGAGTCTTTGACATTGACAGAATCGAAGGGGAATACGACATAAGCTCGAATACAAGCTCTCCCGCAGGTTCGCATTGAACAACAGACACCGTTTTCTGCTCTGATTCTGAAGAAATGTTTATCCTTTTTCCAGTCTTGAAGAAGACATCTGGCTGTTTCTTACTGAAGGTGACAAAGAGGCTGCCTTTATGCCCGGTTGGTAAGTCTTTGACCGCCACGATTTCCAGCATAACCTGAATGTGAATCAGGAAGCAGAAAAGGTAAAACCTTAAAAGTTTGACAAGGAAACAACTTGTGGTAGAAAAGCACCCGGGATAGTAACCAGTGTGTCTTTCTTGCAATTCACGTAATGAAAAAATGTGGGAGATGAAGACATTGGAATCTACCTCTACAAACGTTGTCTTTGGAAGTTGAATAATATTCTTGTTCCGATCAGATTGACCAACCTTCTTTCTCCCTGTTTGTATTTGTAGTTGGCTGAGATTGGTGGGGAGAGGAGATGGAGCACTGCCTCTGTACATTGCTCCTGCTTTCCAGTACCTTGAACCGAACGTCTCTTCCCATTGTTTGCCGGTCTCAGAAAACCCGACATCTAGCTTTTGACCCTTGGTTCGGTCAGAATCTGTGTCATCATGCTCTAACACCTTGCCCATTATTGCCACAAGATCTTTACAGTAAGAAGCAGGATGCAATTGGTGGGAGTGCCAGATGAGGTCAATGTCATAAGTCGGAACACAAAAGCGCGTAATAGACCTCTCCCTATTTCTCTTGATCAAATGCAAAAACCCTTTGTATCTGTCCACAGCTCCCTCGAGAAAGAGTTTGTTATTCATGTAAGATCTCGATACCTGTTTGTACATGTCGCAGTTATTGAGCAAAAATTTGGATAGGATAACAAATTTCAGATGACATCTCTGTTCCGTTACCTGGTAAAAGAAAGGAATCTGCCTTCTGACAGCCGAGACTAGATTATACTTTGTGCTTTCTGAAGTTGCATAATTATTTTTGGCACTGCCATGTGACAGGCAGCTACTCATATCGAGTTCATATGGCTCTTCAGGATATAGTTTGATCCAAATTTCTTCTGTTTTCTTTTTGCAGATTCCCTGAACGGAGGATACAATGTTGTGGTTCACAAGGATTCTTCCGTAGAGATTTGCGCAATCAGTGACATAACGCACCTGAAAAACCAACAAAGAAATGCAGGTTGGGATGATTGTGAAAGAACTTGAAGAACCATGTGTGAGTTTTAATCCGTGAAGTTGTCTACCGGATTGAGCCTGTGACAATGCCAAATCCATTCGCAATCAAGAGGCACGACGAGAGGACCTTCTGAAACCTCAGATTCAGCATACTTGGCAAGTAAGGGAAGCCAACAATATTTGTACCTGAAATTTCCAAAGTTGACAAACTAAATACCCACATTTAAGTATTCTGATTATTTTAGTTTCTTTTTCTTGAATTACTTATCTGATTTTCCATTGGAACATCATGTTGCCAGAAGAAGGTTCTAGCCGTTAAAAATCACTGGTTAACCTGCACTGCATACCGATAAATGGCCTTGTACAAAGCAGGACCGTCATAGAGATGCTGGTTTCGATCAACAACTGCTAGAAACTGCAGCTGCTGTTTAGCTGCAGCCACAAGGTCTTCGCTTATCACAATCTTTTGTGCTTCGGCCCACTCTTGTTCTTGCTTCCTCTCCATTCCTCACTGAAGGAACAAGAAAAATGAGGTATTTAGCTGGAAATGTCAGATCAAACTCTGCTCCTACAAGGCTCTTGAATTCTCTTTGTCAATGTCATGTGTTTAGGGGGCTGCTTTGAGTTGACCTTTATAGGGTCGAATGTTCGATGGAATGCCATCTGGATTCTGGAACGGTGTCGCTTTATCGCTGGAGATACTGATGTACTCAAACGTGTGACCACTAACCAGGGAGCATGGCACAACGGCTGTTTAGCCTCCTTCCTGCCTTGTTTCATTTGTGTGAACACTGAACCTCACTCACTCACTCATACATATGGCATTTTTCCTTAAAATCTACGGTTTTGGTGGGAATTTTATTGTTTGAAGTGCTCACAACTTGTGTGTGAAGTCCATCAAAATAATATTTCTTTTATGTTAACTCTAAATGTTATTAGTATTACAGTCTAGTGGTAATCCTACAAACTTGTAAGTGGGAGATCTTAGATTTGACCCTCTTGAATGACAAGTTCGATACCAAATTATGACCGACCCATTGTGTGGCTTAATCCAAAACATCCCCCGTCAAGTGTCAAAGCTTGAATTTTTAACCAAAGTTATTTTTAATCAGATTCTGATATAATTTCAGTTATATGGTTCATTAGTTGATTCCTTGTGCAACCATATTATGCAACCACGCAAGCTCGGATACCACTTGTTCGAGCCGACATCTCTCACTTCCTCTCAAACTCAAAGTATAGGGTTTTTGTCCCAAATAATCTCGGTGCAATTTATGAACAGTTCCTTTTCCGATGTGGGAAAATGGTTCTGTTAGTACAAACTACAAATTCTCTCATTGAAATAATTCAAGGAATGGTAAAGGATGCAGGAAAATTTTCCAGCAACGCTAGTTCATGAAAAAGAATGATGACATACTACAATTCCTCAGAAAACTTGGTTTGAGGATCTTCTTGTTCTTCATATAGTAAACTGATCAATCGTCTTCTACATTGTCTCAATGGAAGAAAAGAAAAAGAAAGTTCCTCTCAACATTCATACATAGATTGCTGTTTTCATTACATTGGAAAATGCTGCTAACCATCAAAGAAATACATGCTTAAGTCATTCCTAAATCTATTAACAAGAGAAGAGCAGGAGACGGGTCTCTCCGCAACTTGCTATCTACCAAATCCAGTTTTTTCCATCTTTTCCTCACAACAAAATAGCTGCTTTTTACCTATTCACACAAGCCGTAGATCCCTTGAAAGAACCATGGCATCAACGAGGCTAATTATTTCAATGAGAGAATTCGTAGTTTGTACTAACAGAACCATTGTCCCACATCAGAAAAGGAACTGTTCATAAATTGCACCGAGATTATTTGGGACAAAAACCCTATACTTTGAGTTTGAGAGGAAGTGAGAGATGTCGGCTCGAACAAGTGGTATCTGAGCTTGCGTGGTTGCATAATATGGTTGCACAAGGAATCAACTAATGAACCATATAACTGAAATTATATCAGAATCTGATTAAAAATAACTTTTCACACAAGCCGTAGATCCCTTGAAAGAACCATGGCATCAACGAGGCTAAACAAAAGCTGAACAGATATTGTTGTGATTGCGGCCACGATATCTTCTTCCAAGCTTTCCTCTTTAATTTTGTGCAGTTCCTTCAATTTAATCCATTTTTTCAACACAAATAGACATGTTGTAACCATTTGAGTAAAAGAAACAGTCCTAATAGTAATACGAGAGTATCATAACATATAAAACATGATCATTTCCCTTTGACCTGTAAAAGAATACGAAATTAACAGCAACGTAATCAACAAGAGCAGTAGACTTTCATAATTGAGAATCCTTAACGAGTAAGCTAGGAATTTCCCGAACGCACTTTTACTATTAAAGTTTGTTATAACTTGCATAAAGACATCTTGAGGTGGAAATATAAAAGAAAACATACACTAGAAAAGCTTGGTTTTTTCTTATCTATCTTCAGGAAAAGCTTAAAAGTGTGGATTGAGGTTTCAATAATCTTGACGAGATCTGGGGCATGAACCATTGAATCAGATTCTTCTTCCTCTGTGCCATTTCGAATCGGACCTGAACAAATTCACGAAGTCAAGTTCTTAACATGAGAACAACGGACACCTTGATATTAAGTCATTAACAACGGGCATGGCCAACAGAAAGCTGGTAACAAGCATATATGAATTTGGTAGTACATGAAAACCGGCTTCTGATTTAGTGCTCGTAATGTGAACTTGCAACCATAGAAGAGACATTTGGATTGACACAACCTGGAACTGTCGAAACTATTGAGCACCATGGTTGTAACAGTTGATTTTTTTCAGGCTGGCACGAGCGTAACTGCTCCTGTTGAGTGTAGTTACAGTGAAATGCCTCCCAAGACGAGCAAACTTGAGCTACACATAATACCGGGAACCATTCTCTGGCTGCTGAAGATGCTCAGTCTCATCATCAGATTCTTCAAATAGATTCTCTTAGTTCTTCTTCCATTTCGCATGAGAATCTCCTCAGAAATTGCCAAATTTTAACTCTCTGAAGGGTTAGATTTTATTTACTTTGTAGAGAAGCTAATACATACACGAGGTAAGAAAATTCCAGAAGTGTTCATCTTATTTATGCTAAGGTAAGAAAAAATGCGTAGATGTGAGTTCGGTTAGTTAGTGTAAAACTTAAAGAAGTTGGGGTCACTTCAATTGCATACCCATTTCAACGATGGGATGCATATGTATTGGATGTGTCATTATTAAAAGTAGGGTGGATAACAGCTCAGCTGCTGTTGGTGTTTAGCTGTTGCTTTTGGTCCTCCATCATCTATTGTTTTTATCCATTGCTTTCGGCCCTTCTTCACTGTAAAGCTAACGTTAGATAATAGATTAAGATTAGTGGGATTGGAGGTCATCATTATGTTGGCTTAGCTGCCATGGTCCTCCTTTCGTCTTCACGTTTTTCTTCTCCCATATATGTTGCATCGTGTAATGTTTTTTAGATATGAAATATACATCAAACATTCAATATGGTATCAGAGCGGGCATCATCCTGAGCCAGTTCTGTATATTGAACCTGCTGTGTTTATTTTTCAAAAACAATGGCAGATGGAAGTATCATTGCTTCTTCATCTGGAAGCGCTTCTGAAATGGATATCAATCCAAACCAACGACTCAGTTCAGTATTATTGAATGAGTTTAATTATTTGCCATGGGCAAGGGCTGTTAGTCTTGCTCTCGGTGGAAGATCCAAACTCGGTTTCATCAATGGCAGTCAACCTGCACCAGATGCTTCTTCTCCAGAATATGGAGGGTGGCTATGTAAAGATCAACTGGTCATGTCATGGTTGTTAAATTCTATGGAAAGGAATATTGCTGAAATCTTCAGCTATTCCGAGCCGTCTCTCATCCTTTGGACCACCGTGAAGGAGATGTATGGAAATCAAAACAATGCAGCTCGCATCTTTCAACTCAAGAAGGATATCTCCAACATACAGCAAGAAGGTAAAAGCTTTGTTCAACATCTTGGTTCTTTGAGAAGCATGTGGAATGAGTTAGATGTGTACAGACCTCACACAACTGATCTCTCTGTGCTCCTTAAAAGAACTGAAGAAGATAAAATTTTTCAATTATTGTCTAGCTTGAGCTCAGAATATGAGGATTTGAGAAGTCACATTCTCATGAACTCGGAGCTACCATCCTTCACTAGTATCTGTGCAACTATCCAACGTGAGGAAGTAAGGAGAAAAGTCATGAACAATGGTATAAAAACCAACGTGACAGAAGCTAGGGCTTACCTGACAAATGAAAAAAGATATAAAGGAAAAAACCCTCATTTAAAGTGCCTACATTGTGACAACATCGGGCATGTGAGAGACAAGTGCTGGATCCTACATCCAGAACTCAAACCTGACTTCATAAAGGATAAATCCGCACCAAAGACAAGTCGAGCACACCCTCGTGCCAACACTGCAACATCTTCATCTATCAACAATGTTGATACCTATCAACAGTTCACTGCAAATCCTGCCATCCTTTTAAATGAGTTCGCAGCGTATCTCCAACAAAAGAAGGGAAAAGAGGATGGATCGGTTGATCATGAAGATGGAAGTACTACTGCATTGATGGGCAAATTTGCAGGTTTTTTAGCTGATGCTGATTATGTACCTCAGACAGACTTGAAAGGTATCGTAACTGCTTTCCAAACTGCTCTTAAAATAAATGAGTTACATGATTTTTGGGTTGTAGATTCTGGTGCCACAGACCATATGACTAATCAAATGTCAAAGTTACATCGATTTGAGAAACTACATAATCCTTCACATGTATCTGTTGCTAATGGTGAAGGTGCTAGGATTGTAGGAAAGGGAAAAATCCACCTGATATCTGATCAAATAGAGTCTATGGCCCTATATGTCCCATCATTTCCATTTCAACTTCTCTCAGTGGGAAGAATCACAAATTCCTTAAATTGTTTGGCCATTTTTTCACCAAAAACTGTCATTTTTCAGGATTGTATAACCAAGAGGACGATTGGTGAGGGGTTTTACCTTGATGGTCTCTATTACATATCAAAAAGCTCTTCCTGTGGGTTCCATGCCAAGTCAAAGTCCATCCATACCTCCATTCAAGCTTCCACCTTGTGGCACCAACGACTAGCTCATCCATCTCAACCTATCTTATCCACCTTATTTCCTGACTTAGGCAAAGAATCAACCCACTGTGAAACTTGTCATTTGTCAAAGGCAACAAGACTACCTCTAGGGTCTTCGATGTCTAGAGTTTCTCATCTTTTTGAGCTTGTACACTCTGATATATGGGGACCAACAAATGAATCTTTTGATGGTTATAAATATTTCATAACTTTTGTTGATGATTATTCAAGAGCCACCTGGTTATATTTGTTAAAATCAAAAAGTGAGGTGATGGAAGTGTTTAAGGACTTTCACAACCTTGTCAAAAATCATTTTTCTTCTCAAATCAAAACCCTAAGGTCTGATAATGGCACAGAATACATGTCCCAAGTTATGACTCAATATTTGAGCAACAATGGCATCATACATCAAACTAGCTGTGTTGGCACACCCCAACAAAATGGTGTTGCCGAGAGAAAAAACCGAGATCTCCTTGAAAAAACTAGGGCATTGATGTTACAAATGAATGTACCAAAACGTTTTTGGTCTCAAAGCGTCATGACAGCAGCTTACCTGATCAACAGATTACCTAGTAGGGTTTTGGGGTTCAAATCCCCAATGGAGATAGTTAAGAACAGAAAGGTGGACTTGTCTCACCTTAAAGTCTTTAGATGCATCTGTTTTGTTCATGTTCAGTCATTACATCGAGACAAACTTGATCCTAGGGCAACTAAATGCATTTTCCTTGGCTACTCGTCCACACAAAAAGGGTATAAGTGTTATAATCCACAACTTAAGAGATTAATTGTTTCAAAGGATGTTCAATTTCATGAAACTAACTCTTATTACAGTAAGTCTCTGGATAATTGATGCGTTATTTATGCGCACACAAATTAAACCCTCTTTTTGTCAATTGTAGTAGAATGGATAAGTGAGGGATCGTTCTGGACCGGGGATTAGGAGGGATTGTTAATCACTTGGATTTTTGACTTAAAAACGTAAAAACAATATAAAACACTAAACTAAATTGATTTCTAACTAATTTGACAATAAAGTAAAGGGGGATTGTGTTTGGACGAGATTAAATTAAATGGACAAATTGTAATTAAAGGCAAAACGTAAATATGAATGAGATGAAAATATGGATGATGGAATAGCCAAGGGGTTCATCTCCACACATGTTATACTTGCATACAAAATTGATTCTCAGTTGGTCTTTCGATAAATTATGGAACTCGACACTTCAAGTTAATTAGGTCCGCTTAAATTAACTTTCAAATTTCCCTAGAATCATTGAATTGGATGAATATGCATCGCAAACAAATTATTCCTAACAAGTTCTCTATATGAACAGCATGATAAAGATACAAGTTAGAATCATTACGTTCTTTGGAAATTATAAGCATCGACAAGGCATTTGTAACTATGAAAAGCATGATACTCTTGCCAGGAATTCAATTAACGCAATTGTTTATAAGCAACCTCCACTACTTGTGAATATAAGTTCATAACGATTAGGTGAAATTCACTTATATTCTAGCGTCAGATTTATGCATGAAAATTAAGCGCGCATTCTTAATAAACATTCATAAATAAGTTATCAATCAAACGGTTAAACAAATTGAATCCAACATTCATGAAATCCCAACCAAAAGTAATCAATTCATATTGCAAGTATAACCATGGTTTCGAATCACCCCCTAGCTAACTAGGGGGATTTAGTTCCTCATAACTTTGAAATCAAAGAAACACCTAAACATTCCAACAACTCAAAACTTGAATTGTATGAACGTTTAAGCACTCTTCTCTTCCATTCCTTATACGTACAAAACAAAGAGAATTAAAATGAAACTTTGAAATCAAAGAAACACCTAAACATTCCAACAACTCAAACTTGAATTGTATGAACGTTTAGGCACTCTTCTCTTCCTCGTTGTTGTAGCACAAGGTTTAAGGATAGGTTGGTTGGGGGGATGGAAGTGTGGAATGGAGTGGAAATGGAGAAGATGGAGAAGGGGAAGTGTTTGTGTATTACAATGGAAAATGAGATGATTTGGTGAATGGAATGAATGGGTATTTATAGGAAGAGAATGGGTGTTAATGGATGTTTGTTTAAGGTATTTGGTGGATGGGAAAAGGTGTGGATGGTGGGAATTATGGTGGATGGATGGTTTAGTGGATTTAATTTAGGGTTTATTTAGGTGAATGTGGATGCATGGTTTAGTGGATGTAAAGGATAATGGGATGGTGTGGAATTAAAAGCTAAAAAAAATGGGATAATGGGCATTTAAGTGTGAATGGAATGGTGGGATGCACTAATGGAAATTATGAAATGGAATGGTGGGATGCACTAATGGAAATTATGGAATGGAATGGTGGGATGCACTAATTAGGAGGAAGAATTAGGGTGAAGGGCTTAATGCATGGATTTGGGCCAATTAGGGTGAAGGGCTTAATGCATGGATTTGGGCCTAAAATGCCTCCCCTTGCATGGCAAGGGAAAGGACTTGGGCTAAAGCCCATGGCAATGGCTGGAATTTGGGCTAGGGCATTCGTTTTGTGTCCTAAAGCGCCTACAAGGACTTCAAAGTGGCTAGAAAATACGGACGTTTAAGATTTAGGAAAGGTTACCAAAACGGGAAACTTAGGGTTAACTTTCCTAAAATAGAAAACCTTGTTTGAGTAGGATTCCTCGTTTTGGTAAGAATTCATCGTTGGAGTAGGAATTCGTCGTTTCTTCAAGTCTTCAACTCATTCATTCCTCTTTCGCTCCAAAAAGCTCCACTTTGCATCTTCTTGCACACTTTGGCCTTATAATCTGAAAATACACAAAAGTGGCCTTAAACACTGAAATAGATAAGTAAACACAACATAAATGCACGAGAACAAGCTAATTAAGTCGCATGAATATGCTCCTATCAAATTCCCCCACACTTAACTTTTGCTAGTCCTCGAGCAAAACAAAACAACTACAGTAAACAAAACGCAACAAAACATACAAAACATAACCTAAACCTTCCAACGTTTGCCTCAGGGATTTCCAATGAAATATGACATGTCTAAGATCATTACACACATAGCTTTTAGTCTTCTTTCCCCTCAAGCACATACTTACTCATAGTCACCATTCACTAGTTCGCATTTAATCAATTAAAACATATTTTGAATGTAGTAACATGCCTTAGAGAATTCCCTCAATTCCTCACTAGTTATGCACTCAATTTTCACTCAGATTTTCTGACTACACACCCTACACTAGTTATATGTGAGCAGATTGATGTAACATGAAAGACTAGTACTCACATATGTTATAAGAAAGAAAGCAATTTCTAGAGTAATTAAACGTGTTTGGATATGATCTCATGAATGGAATGCTACTACTTAGATGCGAGAACCAGTGACACCATATGCTCATACTAAATTCAAACTCCACAATTGAAATGCACAACACTCAAGATAGAAGTCAAGGGTTGTAACGGGGCTTGGGGTTTTGGCTAACAAGGGAAGGTAAGGATAAACAAACGTTCTTTAAGCAATAATAAGTAAAGTAATGAAATTAAGACCTAGAATTCCCTTAAAATGCAGAAATCAACTTTTAAACAAATAGGGGAGATTCAAACAACTCTTAGGGCCTAATTCATTGTTTTGGGCCCTTACTTCAACAACCAATACTTTTCAACTATTTTCAACTCTTTTTCCACTTTTTTTTTCTTTTCTTTTTTTTTTTTTTTTTTTTTAACCGTGCCTATGGCACAAAAACTCACATGAATACACTTTCCCCCACACTTATTTTCTGCACACATTAATCAAAGGGAATTCATTCATGCTTACTATGCTTCAAGAACAAGGGTAAGGATGGTCCTAATCTAGGCTAGGTGAGGATAATGTGGGTTAACAAAGAAAGTAGGCTACACAAGGCTCAACGGGGTTAAATCCTATAAAACAAATGAAAAGGGAAATATGGCAATTTGGCTATGGTGTTCACTACACAACTTCATCTTGAATACGTGTTATGCAAATCAATGACATGCTTTGAATGAAATGGGCATGAGTTCTAGCATTTGGAACTAAGTGATGAAACGCCTTTTAAGTAGCAACCAAGCAAAGAATAATGAGATCATGCAACGACTTTAGAAAACAAAGAATGCACAGATTTTAACTCTCCAAATAAACGTTTAAGCTCAAGTCTCACAGGGATGTAGTGTTAGTTTGAGCTCATTCCTTCAAGCATGTTATAAAAACTAATTTTTTTCTTTGTGATTACATGTGAATTCGTGAACTATAACTACAACCAAGCATAAACCAAAGAGTATATCAAACGTCCATCCATGTTTGTAACTTTCTTTAACAGTCATGTAATTAAAAACCAAATCCTCATCATTGTGTTGGAAGGTACCCTACGACACAAACACACAAAAACAACTCTTTTTGGGTTTTTCAAAACAATTTTTTCAAATTTTTATGGGATTTTCGAATTTTTAAGTCAAAACACACTAAAATAGTTTAAAAACATTTTAAAACAGCAAGGAACAACACTTGAAGTTATGGGTGATAAAATCCAACAAATTTGCATCAACATACTTAGTTACCCCCCCACACTTAAATCAAACATTGTCCTCAATGTGTTAAGCTTAAAACACACCAAACAAAAGAAAACATATAAAACAGCAACTAAACATACTAAACATGGCAGAATGTATCTATCAAAGAGAAGAGTTTTAGAGATGCAAATCTGGTTATGGAGTGTAAATTCCATCTTCTCCTTGGTGATTGCAGTGAGGCTTCATCTTGAATAATTCCACTGGCTTACTCTTGAACTGCGCTACTCCCATCGTTGATTTTCCTTTGTGCTACTCTTGAACTGGGTAGTAGGCTTCCTTTAGTCTCCCCCGAGGGTCTGAGCTTCCTCCTTTTATCTGTTTCTTTGTTCAATCTCTCCAATTCGTATTGAAGAGGGTTAGAGGATAGCTCAGCAAAGCTAGGTAAGCAACCAGGGAATAGAGTCCAGATAGACTCCAAGTGCCGGCTGATTGCTTCTTTCACTTTGCCATGCAAGTAATATCAAGGACAAAGGAAAAGACAGGGAAAGAGCATGATATGATATACCTTTGCTTTTGCCCTTGATGATATGAGATACCTTTGCTTTTGAAGAAGCGGTGAATGAATCAGCACATGTATTTGTGGTGCTGTTTCCTCCTGGGTCATCTGTACTCCAGGCATCTGGTATCATCTTTGGGGAAGAAGAAAGAATGGAGTATTTTGAAAGGCTTTACTGGGAGTGCGCCTTCAGAGGTGAGAAAGAGTTGGGCATTTTCTTCAGTTCTGTCTTGCCAAAAAAA